CCATATATGTACATTTATATTAGACATTTAAAATTTATTTATACTTACTTTGATTTGTTCAAAAAGTTTAATGTCTAAAATGAATCGTAAAACGATTGCGGGTAATAAGTGTTGTTTATCTCATTGTAAGAGATCCAAAAGAAATTTTCCCGATTTAAAACCTTTTAAATTTCCAAACTATGATTCGCCTATTTTTAAGGAGTGGGCAGACAAATGTAAATTAAGTGAAGAATTTGTTGAAAACAACTCCTCACTGTATTTATGTAGTAATCATTTTTCTGCTGAAGTTATTGGAAAAAAGAATCTTAAGCGAGGAGCTGTTCCGTCGTTATGCTTACAGAATTACGATAAAACCGATAATGAACGGAAAAGTGAAGATGATATCGATATATCAATTCTAGTATCCCCAATTCGAAAACGGATGAGATCAGAATCACCTCCGTCTTTGTGTGGCAGTTGTTTTCAAAATATTAAAAACGTTAAATTTTATCAAAACAAAAATCTTTTATTACGGAAAAAACTAATAAAAAAATCTGAATTAAATCGTCGTTTAAAAGGAGAAAATAAGGCTTTGAAGAACTTAGTAATTAAGTTCAAAAGGCAATTTAAATCAAAATTGTCAGTAAATGAATTGATTGATAAAATGGATATTACTGATAATGAAAAAGTGCTCTCTAAAATGCTGATTAAACCCAATCGAGTAGCTACAGCTGGCTGGAATTTGAATGAACGGCATATTGCTCAAATTATTTATTATAAGTCCACTGCTATGTATTTATTTCTGAGAAACACGTTAAAGTTAAATTTTCCCAGTCCTTCATCCCTTCGGAGATGGAATGAAATAAAAAATTTACAGCCTGGACATAATATTTGTATTTATACAGCGCTTGAAAAAACAGTCCTCAAAATGGAGTTAATAGAAAAGGAATGCATTTTAATATTTGATGAAATTGCTATAAAAAAAAATTTAACGTACAATACCTCTGCAGATGTAATTTGTGGGCTGGTTGATTTAGGAGATAAACGGACAGATGAGATAGGTACGCATATTTGCGTTTTTATGTTGAGGGGGCTCATAAAAAATTGGAAATTCGTTCTGAATTATGTTGTAATGAATAATTCAATCAAAGGGCCATCACTACGACAATTATTAAAGAATAATTTAGACTGTGCAGAGAAATTGGGATTAAAAGTACGTGCAATAACATGTGATCAAGGTCCAAAAAATCGGCATTGTTATAAGTTGTTGAATGTTTCAGTGGAAAGACCGTACTTTATTCATAACAATGCAAAAATTTATCTTTTATATGATGTACCACATTTAATAAAATCGATAAGAAATGCATTAATAAAGGCAGATTTTGAAACAGCTGATGGCAAAATTAAATTTGATGTAATAAGAGAATTGTTTGAGTTAGAACAGGGAAATGTGACGAAAATGACGAAATTGACAATAGCTCATATTGCACCTACTAATTTTGAAAAAATGCGAGTAAGGCTTGCTGCTCAAACTCTGAGTCATACTGTCGCAGCAGCAATTAAATCCGCACCTATAAATAAACAATTCCATAGAAATGATTCCCTAGTCACAGCCAATACGGCAGCATTTATTGATATCATTGACAACTGTTTTGATGCCCTCAACAGTAAAACATTTAGTGATCCCAAGCCATTGAAACGTGGGTTAAGATTCGAAAATTGTGTTTGGAAAGAGCTTTTGGATTTTAAAGAGTATATTAAAAACCTTCAATATAAAGGTAGCAAAGTATTTTGCGTTGATGGATTAATTCAAACGATAAATGGTATATTGTCTTTGGCAAACGACTTGTTTAAAGAAAATACAAACATTTCCGTTATTTTGACTAGCCGCTTTAACCAAGATCCATTAGAAAACACATTTTCGTATATACGTGCCAAGGGTGGGCATAACAAAAATCCGTCGGTGTACGAGTTTAATATAATTGTGGCAAAGCTATTGTCTTTAAAATTGTATCAGTTCAACTCGCAATCAAATTGCTTGGAAGATGAAGATGTTATGCTGGAATTAGATTTTTGCTCAATGCTAGATAATATTCGCAGTTTGCATAGAGTACATACTGAAATTCCTAATAGCGAACACGTTGTATTAACTGCGGAGGTCGTTTGTGGAGACAATGAAGAGTACTTCAATGAAGAAGCAGACTCTTTCTATTCAGATAGAATTCCTATTGAATTGACTTCTAGTCGATATTTTATTGGTTACATTGCACGTCGTCAAAAATGTCAAAAATTCCGAATGAACACAATCAAATCTAATGAAATTTTGTCTTATCCATCTGAGATGTTTATCCACACCAAAAATTACAAGCTTAACAGCGATTTTGGAAGCTTGTGTGCACCAACAACTTTATTTTTTAACATTTGCAAGATTCATATAAAAGTGTTTAAAAAGATTTTTAAAGAAAATAAAAATATTAGAAATATAAGAAAAATTATAATGGAAAAATGTATAGAAGTCACTAAAACCACTAACAATGCTTCCTGGTTTGACGAAACGCATGAATGCTATTTACACCGGATTGAAATGTTAAAATTGGTGATCACGATATTGCTTCGGAAACATTGCGCATGGACAACATTTAAGAATAAAGCATCATAAAATGGAAAAAATCAGATTTGAGACATAAATAAATTTGTAATGTGTTTTTACACTACAATTCATACCAATAGCAAACAGGTAATTTTGTTTCATATGCTATTAAATTCAATAACTTATCAAATGTACACAATTTTGATTTCGTCACTGAAATGCTGTTTGATCGCTTGAACATTTTACAGCGAACAAACATACAAACATGCGTATATTATAATACAGAGGGTTGCATATATGATTGAAGACGTATGCAGTCGGGCTTTCGTCAGCCTTACTTGACTTATATATAGGTTTGAACTGAACATCATACCAGTTGTGACTCGATCGAACATTGTTGCATGAGGTTGGGTGGATTTATTATAAATCCACCAGCAAAATAAAGTGGGTATTTCGTTTGTATGAGCGTGGCACTTCTTTGTACTATAGATTCTTTGGTTTAGATTTAGTAGAAGAAAAAATGTGAGTGTTGTGGAAGCATGGAGAAAGTTACCGATTGTATTACACATGCTATTCTTGCCATCAAACAGTTGCGCCAATCGACTTTAAATGCCTGTTGGAAAAAAATTTTGCCATCATGTACCAAAAGTGAAAGCTTTGTAGAACAAAAATCAACTGTGTGTTCTGAAGTGATTGGTTATGATGTTTTGAGCAAATTCAGATATGCTTTGGATGAAAGCGGTTATAAATTTTTGTCGCTTATTACAGTAACAGATCACAGATTTCAGTGAATGCTAAGGAAATTCCACGAAAGTTCGACGATAAAATCGAACAGATACGAAACAATTATAAGCCAACGAAAATAAAAGACAGCCCAATCAAAATGAAAATCGTTTTGAAGAAAGAACAGCCGATACTCTCCGCACCAAGCAGAATGCCGTTAAATGATCAAAACATCGTACTAAAAAACATGGAAGAATTGATGAAAAATGGTACAATAAGGGAGTCTACATCGTACTGTTGTAGAGTTATGGTAGCAGAGAAAAAAGATGGGTCAAAAAGAGTGTGCATTGACTGGTACCAAACATGGAAAATATAGTAGATAATTTAGAAGGTAAGTTAGGAGATTAAACAGCCATTGCAAAGTCAT